AGGGAGCAGCAGCGGCCTGTCGTCGGGCCCCGATCAGGATCAGGTCTGTGAGGTGTGGGGACTGTTTTCAGAGAACTCCTGGTGTGGGCTCAACTAGGGGTGCAGCCCGAAATGAGAGAGTGAGCAGGAGAGAGCGCACCTCATCTGAATAATCGGGTCGAGAAAGCTCTGGTGCAGCCTCTACGAGCTGATGGCCACGTGCCTGTCAGCACCCCAGCCGGGCAGCAGCAGGCGCTGGCTTGGGGGTGCCCACCTTTTGTCTTCTACCCCAAGCTCCTTCCTCCCACATCTCTGCAGGGTCACCCCAGGTGGAGGTCAAGGGCCGAGCTCTGCACCACTGCCCTGGCCACTTGCGCAGGACTGCGTTCACCCTCCTATGATGTGGAGCTGCCTTCTCATGTCCTGGTGTTCTCAGCCTCACTCTTAAGCACGCGCCTCCTGAGAATCATCTCAGAATCGGTGTCAACAGGCAGCAGCATCCTAAAAACAGCTTTTACTCATAGAAATGGGAGGTGATGTTTCACTTTAGGGTCAGAGAAAAACTGAATGAGCAGGAATGAGGCAGTGCTGGTGCTTGTTTGAGGTTCTGACCTCGTGAAGCCCCAAGAGGGATCTAGGGGCCAAAGAGCAGTGTGGCAGGACCAGGCTGGAAAGTCTTATCTTCGCATTGGCTTAGGATGCTGACTGAGGTGACACCTTCCCAGATACCTCTTCGGTAAAGGAGCACGGGCAAGCTAGCCCCAGTGTTCACTGTGCAGTGATGGCATTCGCTGTGCAGTGATGGTGTGAGCTGCGTGGTGACGGTGTGAGCCGTGCGTGTTGTAGCGGGTCTGGAGCCCTCTACAGACACGCAGCCTGTGCGAATGCTGCAGCCACCTTTACAGGCCATATTCATGTGACAGACGGGTCCGCACCCTCTTAACCAGTCTCTGTTTCGGCTTCCCCAGGACAGACCTCCTCCTGGCCTTGGCTGTGTGATCCATGAACTTGGAGAGGATGGGTGGATCATGGTCCAGAGGGACATGGGCAACACCAACTCATGCAGGATGGGAAAGGAGGGGAAGTATTACCTGAAGTTGGCGGAGCTGCTGGCCTCCACGCAGCCCTCCGCAGAGGACTCGGACACAGAAGATGACTCCGGTGGGTGCCATGGGGCCTGGCAAGCTGTGGGCACGTGCTGGCCGGCCATTATTTCATCTGGGAGTGAGAGCAGTTCTGTAGACCAGGCTTCCCCGGAAGGTCAGTTTTAAACCGGCCCCTGGTGATTCTGTTTG